TTATAAAACAAGAATACAAAGAAAATATGTATTGTATACGTAAAGATTTACAATCATGATTAATTTAGTAATGATTTAATATATTTATAATATTAAAAATTTTTATGGGGATTTGGGGTAAACACATTGTCTTAAATAAGAATATAAATAGTAATCATTTTCATATAATTTTATTGGTTATAGATATATGTACGATAATGTTTAAAGAACAATTTTTTTTTATTTAGAGTATTTTAATTTTTATTAATCGATTACATATTTTAATTTATCCGTATAATATATTAGAAAGAATATTAAGTTCTTCATCATTAAGTTTTCTTTCAATATGAAGATTTATATCATTGATAATTGTGTTATCAAAAGATAGAATTACATTTCTTTTTTCTGCGATAGATTTTGCTTTAAAGGAATAATTTTTGTTTGTTACAACAACTGGAAAACAATTAAAAGCTAATGCTGCGGAATGAATTCTTTCAATATCATTAAATCCAATATTAGCTTTTGTTCTTGGTTTACAACGAATTAAATAATAAAAATCATTTTTATCTATAACAAATTGTTTATCTTCATCATCTTCAATAATTTTTTTCAAAAAAAATTTCATTAATATTAAAACCATCATTGTAAAAATTTTGAACGATATTATTTTTGTAATTTAAAATTTCCTTTTTAGTCAACTAAAAAATAAATAAATATATGAGTAAGATTTTCACAAAATTAGCGCAATTTTATAGAGAGCGAACGAATCCAGGTCTATAAAACTCCTAATTTTCCTTCCATCATCTATGATTCTACATGGGCGATTACATGGATTGGTAGTCACACGTCTCACTCAACCACAGCGTAATTTACAATCATAGTAAAGTACTCAGTAAAATAATTACCTTTTCATTTAAAGATTCGAATAAAAGAATTTTTTGATTCATTTTTTTTTTACTTTTCGTTAAGATATTTTCTTTATTTATAAATAAATTAATATTATTAATTAAATGAATTTATAGTTAAATAATATATTTTTGATTTTATTTAATAATTGTACATTTATTTTTTATTTAAAATTTCTAAGATTAAATCAAGTTTTTCTTCGATTGTTTTAATTTTAGTTTCTAATTTTTCATTATGGGTTTTTAAGATTTTATTTTCGATTTCATATTCTAAAGATTTATTTTTTTCTTTTTCTAATTCAATCTTATTGATTTTAAATATATTTTCATATTTATAAACTTTTGGAATAAAATCTTGAATTAAACAAATACAAATTTTATCTTTATCATCAGTATAATTTTCTAATTCATTGATTGCATAATCAGTTAAATTAACATTAGAAATAAAAAATGCAATATGATAATTTGTTTTTCTTTTTGCTGTGTTTAAAAATTCTCTTATTTCAGGTACTTGAATTTTATGATTTCCACTTCTGTATTTACATTGAGCGAACCAAAAAAATTCTCTTAATTGTCTTATTAAAAAAGAATTATTAGTATATCATTTCCCTAAAACCTGATAGACAGCGATATATAGGCGATTCAAACAAGTTAAACCTCACGGAATTTACATTACGAATAGACACTGCCAGTCTGTTTACTCACTCAACTGTAAAAGTGGATCGATACTAGTAAACTATTGCTTACCATGAAGATCAGCACATCCATCAGATAATCTCTTAAATATTTTTTCCGAAAAAGAAATAAATGTTTGGTTCATAGCTACAATTATTTCATTATGAGTTGCTAATTTATAAAGAAAATATTCAAAGACTTTTCCTTTAAGTCTTTTTTTCATGATCAGTTTTTGCTATTTTATCAAAATCTTTAAAATTTATTCTTAATAATTTTTCAACAAAATTTTCAAAAGTTTCATTAATTTTAGGAAATACAAAAGACATTTTTAATAAAAAATATAAAGAAAAAATTATTATATTTATAAAATTTTATAATTAATAATAATTATTTAATTAATAATTTTTTTTAATAATCTTCATTATCTAAAATGTTATATAATACATCAAGTTCTTTTTTATCTAATTCATTTTCAATATAAAAATTTAATCTACGTTTAAGATTTGATGGATAAGACAAGATAACATTATGCTTAGAAGCAGTTTTTGTTGCATTTCTAGTATAATCAAGATTTGTTACAATAATACCCTGAACATCATAATAATTTGATATATTTGCTGTTCGTTCAACATCATTAAATCTCACATTTCCTTTTTCTCTATGTTTACAAGAAATTAAAGTTTCAACATCATATTTACTAACTATGATATCTTTATCACGATCATTATAAATATGTTTGGTGATAAAATTTTCATTTATATCATAATTATCTTCATATAAAGAATTAATGATTTCATTCTTGAATGATAAACATGAATTATTTTTTTGAGATTTTACATAAATCTATAAATAAAAAATCATATTAATATATCATGCTTCATCATGTTCATAACTGGAAGTTTTCCAATCGTAGTCACCCCTATAGTTATATGTACAGATCTACATGGGCGATTTTTCATAGGTGGACAAATGTCCCGACAATGTGAAACTCACTC